ATGCCCCTCAAATTCAATATAATGTCATTTCCTTGGAACAGAAAGCTCAGTTTGCAAAAGAAATTCGATGTCTAATAACCTGAATATCATTCCCATTGTTAAAGGATTAATTACTCACATGACACAAAAGCCCAGGTTCATGCAGCTTATAGTCCAATCCAGATGCAAATATGAATAGAAAACAGTTGAAACCCTTGATTATGTAGATGTAGCCCCTCCAAGGTCCATATTAGGAAGCTATACAATATGGAAAGCTATAAAACACAAAAGCTCTTCTTTCTTTTTTTTTTTAATATTCAAAGGTTGAAACCCTTGATTATGCAGATGTAGCCCCTCCAAGGTCCATATTGGGAAGCTATACAAATGGAAAGCTATAAAACACAAAAGCTCTTATTTCTTTTTTTTTATATTTATTTTTCAGTTGTAAGTGGACACAATAGCTTTATTTTATTGATTTATATGGGGTGCTGAGGATAGAACCCAGGGCCTCGCCTCACATGTGCTAGGCGAGCACTTTACCGCTGAGCCACAACCCCAGCCCCAAAAGCTCTTCTTTCCTAGAAGACATTTTTCTCCAACAGTTGAAACACTGTGAATGTTGAGCTGTTTGGTTGACAAATGAAGAAACAGAGGCCAGGGGAAGTCAGGTAACCTACAGAGATGCAGTCTGAAGTCAACAAGTGACAGCGCGTTCAGCGCTCTGTCAATAAAAGCAATTTTTATTCCTTTTCTAAAGAAACTGGGGGGGAAAGGCAAGCTTCTACAGCTCAAAGAAGAGGAATCGGGATGTTTATAAGAAAAAGAATGACAGAAAAGGAGATAAGGGGAAAGAACACATGCACGCATGTGAGAGACCATGGTTTTGGCAGCCGTGCAGAGTAAGGGTTTAAAAATGCAAGTTGGAAACTTATCCTCGAGTTTGCTGGAGGAAGCCAGTAAAATGTTCAGAAAGGATGACATCATCATAACGGCAGCAGGTGCATGCCGACCACTTGGCCTCAGTGCTCTGGGGTGAACCAACTGAGAGCAAGCACAACCATGTTTGAAGGTCTAAAATCCAAGGAGGCTCCTATGGAGGAGGATTTGAAGACAGACCCCTGAACAGCAGACTGTGGAGGTTCTCTGTGAACTGAGTACCTGTTGAGTTACATCCTATGAGTGTCCCTCAGAAATGGCCCACTCTCCAGTGAGGTGGGGCAGGCTGCTCCCTTGGGGCTGGAGGACAGAGGAGGGAATTAGGACAGAGGCCTACGGTGGTCTCTGTGCTTGCTGGCTGCCCAGCCCTGAGCCTCTTCTCTGACCAGGAGGCTGGAAAGCAGAATGGCACCGGGCACTCTGTAAATATGGTGTTTCCCACAGTCAGGCATCCCTGGCTGGTGGGGACTGCCCCTCCTGTTGAAAAATAGCCTCCATTTCATCCCCACCATAGGACACCCAGAGGCCCAAGCTATTGATGACAGTGTCCCTAAAGTGACTGGTTTTCAGAGTTTGTCTCTTCTGTTTCTCCCTGGCCTTCTTCCTACTAAAAATTGAAAAAGAGGAAAGACATTCCCCAGCACCCTCTTCCCTACCTCTCTCCTGACTGTCCCACGGCCCAGGCTCACTTTGGTCCCCTTCCCATCCATTGCCCTTTGCTTCCTAGGTATTAGGTAAAAGACAGGAAATAACAGTTTCTATCAAAAATATGAAACCATCTTTTGAAAAATGAAATAGACCCATCTTTATAGTAGTATGAAGACAAAACCTATTTTGCTAAAATTATCAAGATAAACAAGACTTTCAAAGTTCTTAGAGAATACTATTTAAAAAAAAATATTAATGATCCATTTAATTGAGGTACCATTGATAAAATAAAAAGTAGCCCAGGCTTTGCTGAGTAGGCACATCTTGATTGTTGCAGGTCAGCCCATGTGGCTTTTGGCCTCTGAGTGGTGGTTAGAAAGAGCGAGTCCCACTCCAGTTGTCATTGTCAGCCAAGTGCAGTGTCAAATATCCCACTTTTCTGGCAATGCTGTCACTGGTATGCTTTGACTTGGCCCGGTACATGGAATTGCTTACATATGCTCCCCATGCTTGGAGGGGCCTGAGGAGAAGAAGGCTTGAGAAGAGAAAGGAGGAGTGGGAGGAGGAGAGGAATGTAGCCAGGAGAGGAGGAGAGCAAGGAGTGTGCGCGTGAGCTGATGGCATGACCCCACCAGCCTCCTGCACAGACCAGGTACCTACAGCCCCAGTCCTGGCTGAAGCTGCCCAGGAAGCAAGATCCCTCAGGAGATGCTGCATGCCGAGATTCAAGTTGCCACATCTGCTATGTCCTAGTCTTGGATGGAGCACTGGAAAAATAGGCTTGACCCAAGTGGCCAATTAAACTTTCCATTGGCAGAGATTGAATTAAGAGTTAAAAAAAAAATGGGGGGAGGGAATGTTTCCATTTGAGTAGTTTGTTTTTTAGTGAAATGAAGCATTTACTGACATAACCTCCACAGAGCCATGGGAGGGTGATTAATTAAACTCTGTAGTGCATTTTGGATGGAGAATCTCAGTGCCAGATTAAAGCCTCGGGAGGCATTTTGGGGTGTTGTAGCCACCTCCAGGATCACCTGTCAACCCATCTGAGCTTCGGGCCTTCTGCCTGTCTTTCCTCCCATTCCTGCAGACTCCTGGCAGGGGTGCAGACAGAGGGAATTCCTGTAGGCCGAGGCTCTGTGGCTTCTGAAACATTATGACACTAAGGATTCTGCTAAAATATGCAGCAAAGCAAATGCTTTGGAGAACACCTATTCTCCTAGCTGCCTGGGATGTGGAAGCTGCCGTCACTCTTGCCAAGGCTTCCCAACTAAACCCTTGGGAGCAGACTTGCTTTGGAATCAGACATTTTTTTTAGAAAATCAGTGCAGTGCAGAGACTGTGCATTATATAACACCCTCAGAGAGTCTGGGGCAGCAGTACATATGAGGAAATGAAAACAGTCAAGTGCCTCGCATCAGGTTTTGTGGCCAGTTCAGATGAGTTTTGCTGCCAAGTAAGTTACAAAAACTTTCTGGTTTTCAGAGCTAGTTGGATTTGGAGTCATGGATCAGGAAATGCTGGCCTGTGTCCCTGACCCCATCTGGCTGGAAAGATCCCAGCAGCTCCAGGCACCTCCCCTTTCCTCCAGCTCCTCGCCCCAGATCCTGGGTTTTCAGCAGTTGGAGGAGGACTTAAGCTAATTAGCTGCAGGGCTGCCCTCTCTCCCTCAACAGCCGCGTGAAGTATGAAGGGAGTTGTGGTGCCAGGCAGGTCCCACACTCTTGCACTATAGCTCTCTCCCTAAAGCAAGGGGCTGCCCTGACAGGAGGGCGGGGCCATTTTACAACACTTATATTAAAGGCCCACTTCAACACAGCAGAAATAGTATCTGGGTTTTAACACCCCAAGAAATGTTTAACGACTGAGTATAAGAAACATCCTAAAAGGGTTTGGACAAACAGGTGACTGACAGGGCCATGATTGACAGCCAGGAGGAACCAGGATACACCAAGCTCCAAAAGTAGCAATACAACAAAGGGAATTGACTACAAATCCAAAAATCTGAATGTCCCCCCTACCCAGTGGGATAGGGTTGTACCCTGGACCCGGCACCTCTGACCAAGCCGATGTTTCTGGCTCATGGGTTCCCTTCTCCCCCAGAACTAAAGGGAGCTGTATGCCTCTGTTGTGTTCTCCTGCTGGTGATAGCCCTAAGAGGTATGGGGAGAAGTCTACTGTGTGGCTTGAAATCAGATTCTTGCTTTTGAAAATGAACTGGGTCAGAAGTTAGAGAAGATTCCAGATCACAGGCTCATGGCCAAAATATACAAAGTCTTGGCAGAGAGAGAGGAGAACGTGATATAGCAAAAAAAAAAAAACATCGGGGGGAGAACTGAAGAATGATATCTGGCAGTAGTTGGGAAAGGGGTCATGGCGTTTATCTCACTCTAAGAGTGGCATTTCCTGTATTGCCAAGAAGCCCAACATGGGGGAGGCTGCATTATCTACAGGACGAGCGATCTCCCTCAGTGTCTTATTTTAATGCTGCGTATCCTGATTTTTCAACATTAGGCAGCTCCCTTAGAGGGTCAAGAAAGGTCTCAAATGATAGAGGGCACTGTGGGGCCACCAGACCAGATGGTGCCCAGCAATACTGGCATGATGGCAGATCTCAGACAGTGGAGCACTCAGATTTTGCCCAGACATAGATAAACTAACTTATGAAATTCATAAACGAGGCTTACAGATGCTATAAAAACAAGGGCAGTATGCTTTCATTCCATGGGTTTTTTTTTTTTTTTTTTGGTCTACTCAACAGAAGTATAATTTACGTACCAAAAACAAATTCAATTTTAAAAATGCACTTCAATGAGTTTCGACAAACAGCCCCATCATCAAATACACACTGTAGAATAGGAGTTGGTAGACTACATCCTGTGGGCCAAATCTGGCTCCCAGACTGGTTTGGCTTTGTGCTTTTTTCAAGGGTTGCAAAATCGAAGATGACACAGATCCTATGCGGCTTGCAGAGCTAAAATCATTTGCCATTGGCCCTTTACAGGAAAAGTGTAATGGCCACTGATACAGAGCATCTCGCTCACCCCAGAGTTCCCTCTGACCCTTTGCAGGCATCCCCCTTCCCCCCACCCCCACAACCACTGATCTGCTTTCTATCCATGTAGGGTTCTGCCTTTTCTAGAATTTGACATAAATGAAAGCATACAGTATGCTGCCCTTTGTGTCTGGCTTCTTTCACTTAGGATGCTTTTGAGATTCATCGTCTGGGTTTTTGCCTATGTGAGTTCTGTGTTCCTTTGTTGTTTCTGCGTGGTATGATATCCCATTGAAGGCAGGATCTGACTCCTGGTTGGGGTGGGTGCCCTCCCCATGTTTTAACCACGTGCAGGCTCAAAGAAGAAAAAAGGGGAGCTCCGGCCGCGGGGTCAGGGCCTGAGCGCAGGAGGCACCCGCTCTCACTGCCCTTGTCTTTGCAGGCATGAACAACCGGGAGGTGCTGGAGCAGGTGGAGCGCGGCTACAGGATGCCCTGTCCGCAGGACTGCCCCATCTCTCTGCATGAGCTCATGATCCACTGCTGGAAAAAGGACCCCGAAGAACGTCCCACTTTTGAATACTTGCAGGGCTTCCTGGAAGACTACTTTACGGCCACAGAGCCCCAGTATCAACCTGGTGAAAACCTGTGAGAGCCGGCTCTACAGAGAGAGGCCTTGTCCCAGAGGCTTCCCCACCCCTCCCCATTAGCTTTCAATTCCGTAGCCAGCTGCCCAAGCAGCAAGAACCGTCCAGGATCAGATTGCATGTGACTTTGAAGCTGATGAACTTCCATGGCCCTCATTAATGACACTTGTCCCCAAATCCGAACCTCCTCTGTGAAGCAAACGAGACAGAACCTTGTTATTTCTCAGACTTTGGAAAATGCATTGTATCGATGTTATGTAAAAGCCCAAACCTCTGTTCAGTGTAAATAGTTACTCCAGTGCCAACAATCCTAGTGCTTTCCTTTTTTTAAAATGCAAATCCTATGTGATTTTAACTCTGTCTTCACCTGATTCAACTAAAAAAAAAAAAAAAAGTATTATTTTCCAAAAGTGGCCTCTTTGTCTAAAACAATAAAATTTTTTTTCATGTTTTAACAAAAACCAATCAGGACAGGTGTTTGTTTTTTTTTCTTTTTTATAAATATGAATATATAATATATGTCCCTGTACATATACCATGTGGGTGCTAACGTGGAGACCGTGGCCAGCCTGGGCCACAAAGCTGTGGGACCCAGAGTGAGGATTTTACTACAAAATCTGCATCAAATCACTGGTGTTATTCTGAAAACCAGTGGCCTCGTTTTTGGCTTTTGCAAAGCATGATTCTTTTTTCTTTCTTTCTTCATTTGGATTGCATTTTTTTGGTTCATGACTGTACCTGTAGATGGTTGTTACCTTGACTCTTTTCAGGACCACCCCCCAAGCTGAGTTCAAAAGTTCTTATTACCAGTATTTGCTCCAACTTACAGCGATTTGTTCTTGAAACTTTAGAAGTGAGCATATTTAAGCAAGCCAACAGCCAATTCTACCAAGAGAACTGGAAGATGGATACCATACAACCTTCTTGTATAAAAATATGAATGCCGAAATGTTTCAAATGTTTTTAATTTAATAAATCTTGTAACCACATTTAAATGATCTAAAACCCATAGCATTGTAGTCACGGCAACCTACTAAACTTTCTCATGCAACTAAAATTTATGGGGAAGGTGAGGGTGGGGGGGTTGTACATGTCCCGTTGTAAAATAAGTGTTTTAAATGTCCTGTACTGCTAATGAATGACTATATGTCCGAGAGTTCTCCAGTGAAATAACTATGCACTACTTTACATTTCATGGGGATGCACAAAAAAAAAAAAAAAGAAAAAAGTATGACATTTTTAGTTGCTGTTTGTACCAACCTTGAATGACATATGTTTAACAACAAATCAAAAATCCTATTTCTATTGAGTTTTTAATACTGAGTAGCAACTCTGAAGTCTTAATTCCTTTTTTGTTATGATTTATTTGTGAGTTTACATTTTTAAATTGTTTAACTTTCTTAATTTAGTAATTAAAAAGAGAGCATTTTACATTTGAAAAAAAATTTTTTTGTGCATTTGTTTAAATCACGGAAGGTACTCTAGTAGTTCTGTGACATATCTGTCCCACACCAGATGGTAAGTAGTCACCTGGTGAATTTAGCCATTGTGCAATGATTTCCAAATGACGGAAACATTCAGAACATCTGGAGGTCCCTTCCCCGACCAGAGGCTACCTCATTCAGAAGATGGTAAAACAAGACTAGGCATACCTTAACATTTTAATTAATAGATAATTCCTCTAGCTGAAATTTGCCATGTCCCTCTATAAGGAGAAAGAGACAATTACAAGAAGAGTTTTTCTTGTCCTGGAGTCAGTAAACATATTTCCAAGTGTCCATCCACTTCCATAATGAAATTGTTAATCAAGGAAACAGCCTGGTATGATAGGAGGGGCAGCGGGTAGACCCAGGCTAACTGTCCTGGCTTGGCTCTGTCATCCTTCAGCTGCAAGACCTTGAATGGCTACTGGCATCCCCGCTACAGACTGTCTTGCAAGCAAGGGGCAGGATGAGATTTACTCTCAGACCCCACAGCTCCCAGAGCCTGTGATTCTAAGGTCAATGGTGTCATCGTGTAAGCAGTTGGTTGTTGTCATTGTTGAAATAACGTTTACATTTAGAAAGGGTTTCCAACACTGGGTTAAAAAAAGAAGAAGAAAACGAAATCATTTTGGACAACCAAACTTAATAGCATTGTTTTTGTTACCAATACAATTGCTAAATTGATCAAATTTCCAAGCTCTTGTTACACACAATTTTAATCACATCAGGAAGTTCATGAATACATTCTATATATTTTTAAAGATAACTTCATTTTAATCTTCACATCCCACCTGGATGGAGAGTTGGCAAATATTCTCTGGAGGATTTTTGTTAATGTGCTGACTCATTCAAAAAAAAAATTTTTAAGAAAAAAAAAACTAATTCTTTAAGAAAGAAAGATAACCGATTCTTTAAGAAAAAGCAGTCCGTTCAAGCCAAACTATAGCCTTTAATTCATCAGTTGAGTTCATTGTGGATTCTCTAATATGGAGTCAAACTAAGGACTTGGGTGCACTCGAGGTCACTCTTATGAAATGCCAACATCAGGGTAGCAAAATAAAATTAGCTTTAAGTGTGAAGAAATCAGAGATGTTTCAGGGTTTTGCTTGCAAGGGGATACTGTGCTTTCAAGAGATTCCAGGGGTCACCTCCAGGGAGTCCCAATACCCCCCAGGGAGACTCTTTCCCTCACCAGAAGTTGTAGAAGTTTGGAGTGAGGAAACTGAATCTCCAGAAAGAAAAGTTATCACCCTGGTTTCAAGCAGTGGTAAAACGTGTTTTGCCTTGAGTAACCTGGTAATGAATGCTTACTTCTTGCTCTGCCTCTCAGGAGATCTGCCATCTGGCTTTGCTCTGCAGGACAGGGCAGCTTCCTAATAAACTATTTCTTTTTACTTTTTTTTTTTTTAATCAAATAATAGACCTGCTGGAGAAGACCATTGTAAACTGGGACAAAAGAATTCCTATTCTCCCTGTTCTCCCTGCAGCTTCCTCCTCTGAGGCTGCTGTGATCTTGGTGCATTGACTGGCAGTGAGAACTTGAGAGCCCCCTCGTAGACACAGGGTCCCACATGCTAGGGCATCAGGGCATAGATTGAGCAAACGATGCCATGTGTGGGGACCCAGGCGTTTTCATGAGGAAACCTAAGGATATACAGGACCCCTCAAACACAGCCGCACTACTAAAGATTTCCTGCAAGCACCAGAGGATGTTTAACCACTTTAAGGAAGGCAGGAATCCTCTTGTGGCTAAAATCTTGGCAGCAGAGGATTTTTCTAGTGACATTTTTACTATAAAATTTTATCTGCAATTTCCCAGAGGGCTTTGCCAATTTCTACTATATTAATTGAAATGGTTCCTTCCTGAATCTTGAAAGAAGGTAAGGTTTTCTGCAGAATGCAGAGAATTATACTGAAGCCCACTGCAAAAGGACTGTCATCTGTGTACTTGTCATGACTCAGGACAAGAGAACCTCACCGGACCAGGCAGGCATTTACCTAACAAGTTGTATTCGAGTAAAATGGAGTCTGGTGAATTTGTTTCTGAAATGTATTTTTAATAGCTTTATATGACTTTTGTTGACTTTCCTACCATATATATTATACTGTTGGAATTCAATTAGATTGGAATTCAATCAAATATTTGCTGGAAGGAAGATAGAGTGTGAGAGAAGAAGGTAGAAGACTGGCTTTGATTTTGGAGGGGAAAATAAAGGAAGCTTAAACAAATTCCAAAGCAATATTGTGGGATATAGGTTTTTAAAGCATTACCAATTATGTGTGTTTATTTTATTTATTCTCAAAAAGACTTTATAATTCCATAGAAGAATATAATAAAAAGATAGTACCTTCAATATCTTTGAAATACCAAATGGACCTTTATAATTTATATATACCATTCCTTGGAAGTTTTCATAATAAACTCCTAAATCATACCTCATTCTTTCCTAGAAAATATTCAGAATCTCACAGAGCTGGGACAGAGGACAAGTATACCTTTATTTTTTAAATTAAGGTCTGGGAATATAGGTTAGTGGTATAAACTTGCCTAGCATGTGTGAGGACCTGAGTTTGATCCCCAGCACCACAAAAAAAAAAGAAAGAAAGAGAAAAGAAAAGAAAAAATTCTGAGGCAGTAAATAAAAATTAGTAGTTTTCCAATATTGCAGGAACTAATCAGTGACAACAGTCAGAACACTATGTTCCTCTCTCAAATACTTTATAACACTTATTCTCACGTTTTAATACCACCAGTGTGTTTAATAACTCTGTTCTTTTTTTTAATGTGTTTTCTCTGCCAGATTGTGCACTCCTCAAGAACAGAAACTGCCAACTCCATCCCATCGTTATTCTAGACGTAGAACAGTGTTGAGTTTATGGCAGATGTTGGATGGATGGAAAAATGGTTAGAGGCACGATGCCCGCCATCAAATGGATGAATGGTTTACCTTCAAATGACCCATTTACCTAAGAATCTGCTAAGAACACGGGGAATACAGCATGCTGCCCTCAGCACTAACCTGCCAATTATCAATGTGTGGTCACCAGTCTTTGAGATATGATATGAACGTCCAATCTATACCCTTGATGCTACCCAAGCCTTTCCCCAAAACTTGTCTCAACACCAAGGGGAATAAATTTATACCTCTTGAAACGAGGGGCAGCATAAAGTTAATAGCACCAAGGGGTACATAGTCTTAAAGTACTTCCAAGGTCTCATTTTAACTTAGGAATTTTATAAAGAACTTGACATTCCATTTCTGAAGATATCATCTTCATCTTTATACAAAAGATGTGTATTTATTTTATTTTCCAGATCATCTTGTTGTACAATGTACCCAGCCTGTGACCTGTAGGATCCCTGGCACACCTCTGCATGTCCACAGGAGCTCCTGCAGCTCAGGTGAGCCACACAGTGCGTGAAAACTTCCTGTGGATACACTGACACGGTACCTGGGAAAGGTAATATTGGCCCCCATTAATAGGGAATTCTCTTACCTAATTTCGTTTTTTCACCCACCAAAGAACAACTCCTTGATTGAGAATGGGGCAGAAGATAGAGGATTTGCTGATGGGAAGAAAGAAGAAAACCACCCAGAGCCACCTGAAAGTAAAGGTCCAGTCCAGTCAGCCTCCTCAACCAAGATACAGCGAGGAGGAGGAGCAGGAGGAGAGACAGAGACATTGGATAGGGAGGAAGAAACCACAGCCAGAAAGAGAGGAGCCCTTGCCAGGGCTGTTCAAGGCAGTGGAATGAAGGTGGCAATGATCACAGGCACAGGTAAGGACTAATCACGCCTTCCTTCACTAAACTTTCATTGTCTGCTTCTTGTGGACTAGACTGTGCTTAGTGCAGAAATTCAAAGAAAGTTCTTAGAAATCCAAAGACGGGTGATGAGCATTGGCAGTTCAGTGAGGATGGAGACGCATAAAATCAGCTGCAGTGAGCTTTCTATAGATGGAAGCACAGGAATTAGCATGAGAGTAACCTTTAGCTCAGCACAGGGAGTGCAGGGGCAACTTCCTGGGAGAAGTGGCACCTGAATTCAGTCTTCAAGACAAGTACTTAAAAATAGGGGTCCAAGGATGCTTGTCTTTGAACATGTTACCTTCTGATCCCCAGCCCACAGTTGGGGGCTACCTGATGTTTTAAATACTGAAGGTAATCAGCAATTGGGCTTAAATGAAGAAAAATAGAACCATACCTTAAAAAAAAATCTTTCTCCCCCTTCCTCCTCTCCTCTCCTCTCCAGTTAAAGAGTACACAAGACCATCATTTATTCTGATTTATGGGCTAAAAAATGGAAGATATTGTAGATAACAACATTCAACAATAGAAAAGTATTAGACAAGTTGTTAGCTCTAATGTCCCATCTGGAAGAAATATATTTATAGAATATGGGAATAAAATGTTCAGAATAACCCCTCACTACCTCTCTTAATAACAATTAGTAGTGCCCGGCACAGTGGCGCACGCCTGTAATCTCAGAGGCTTAGGAGGTTGAGGCAGGAGGATCCAGAGTTCAAAACAAGCCTCAGCAACTTAGTGAGGCCCTAAGCAATTTAGTGAGACTCTGTCTCTAAATAAAATATATATATATAAAGGACTGGGTATGTGGCTCAGTGATTAAGCACCCTGGGGTTCAATCCTTGGTACCAAAAAAGTCAATAAATAAAATAACAATTAGTAGAGTCATTCTCCTATTTATAAGTCAATTATTATTTTGCTTGAATCATCATGCAATATGTAAACCCATGAAGGAAGG